CAGCTGCCAGCCATTTGCGGTAGCTCACAGCAGTCCACTGCAGCAGTGGCTGCAGCCTACACTGATACCGGCAACTCATGGCAACTCAGCTCCAGGTGGAGCTGTTGTTCACCATCTTAGCTGTAAGAGGGCACAGCATCACTGGCCCATGTGGGATCCAAACCGGGGCCCTGCTGCTCAGTGCTGGCGTCCCAAGCCAACTCGTAACCAATGCGCCACTCGGCCAGTCCTTTTTGAGGCATTTTATACAGTTTTACTGCTATCTATGTGTTTAGAGAAAGCCTGATGTCAGGCAGCATAACACAGTTTTTCATCACAGAAGTACTCCTTACATTATGAAAGGCTTGAATAAAGATGAGAAAGAAAAGATTTTAATGCTTATTTGACACCTAAAATGTCCTAGATACTCATTTAAATGTGATTTCATACACTCTTATATTTAATCTTCCCAAATAACCTTAACATTGTGGTGTGTGAGTCAATGAGTAAGACAATTTATATTCTCAGCACTCCATTCTTTTCTTTCCTTGTCATCCATCATTTTATTCTAGAGAAAAGAAAATCCTACGAAATTTGCCCTAGGCATGATTGACTTTCTTTCCCGATGATGCTATCTGCCTTGATGGAATCAGACATAGCAGTTTTTGTTTGTTTGTGTGCCCCCTTGACTCTCTGTAGTTCATGCTAGTTGCCAGCTTTCTGTTTTCACGTTCCTCATTCCTTCACTGATATCATCACCCTCAGGCAGAGTTCTCACTGCAACTTGGATATCTTTCCAGAAGTATAGTTTTCAAAATTTAGCAGAAGCATAATTTTTAGCATGCAAAAGAGTTATCTGGGTAGCTTGTTAAAAGCTCAGGTTTCTGGGGCCGGCCAAGTGGCGCGTTGATTAAGAGCTGGCTTGGGATGCCAGAGGGCCCCAGTTCGGATCCCACATATGAGGGCCAGTGACACTGCCCTCTACAGCTAAGATACTGAACAACAGCTCAACCTGGAGCTGGGCTGCCATGAGTCGCTGGCGTCAGCGTCTGCGTCGGCGTAGGCTGCAGCCCCTGCTACAGTGGGTTGCCATGGGCTACCGTGAGAGGCCAGCAGCCACTGTGAGTGACCATCCAGAAGCCGGCGACTGATCTGCCTCGCCTGGGAAGAGTGCAATGATGGTGCCAACTTGGGCCAGTGAAGCAACATCCTCCACAACTAGAATGAAGAACAAAAGGACAGCAACTTGTCTGTTCCCCTTCCCCCAATTCCCCAATAAAAATCTTTTTTAAAAAAGCTCAGTTTTCTAGAAGTCATCCTCAGAGATTCTGATTCATTTGAAATGGGGTGGAGTCATGGAATCTAAAATTTTGGCACACACTACCGTATTAATAGGAGGTCCTTTGCCCTTGGAAAAACATGATTCTGGGATCTGGTAATCCTCTCCTTAGTTTCATTATTATCACTTCTGGCTAACTGGACATTTCTGTAGCTACCTTAATGGCTTCAGCACCAGACTACCAGTCTTCCTCTCCACAAAATGCCCTATCATTATTCTCAGGGAATCTGACATTCATTTTGATGAGCCTTCTAATACTCTAGCCAGGAAACTCTTCACATCCCTCCTGATGACAATCTTTAAAAGTTATATTCAGATTTTCAAATAATCTGAACTTGTTCTAATATTTTACATTTTTACTTTTGAAAACATCCTCTTCATATAAAACATTGTATCCTAACTTTCTCACTTCCTAACTTTTAATAAACTGTTACCCACACTCTAAGATTCCTCTGATTATTCAATTCATCTTGTGTGTTAGGCCCTGTACTCAGCATGTAGTGGACATCATTTGGCAAATGTCCTGTGAGGTTGTTATTAACCTCATTTTACAGATGCAAGTAAGGCTCAAGGGGATTCAGTGAAATATCCAAGGATACATACTGTGTAAATAGAAGAAATTGGATTTAAAATTGTATGACTGTGAAACCCTTACACTGGCTGACTTAGCTTTCTTACTCAACTTACATAAAATGGTCAAGACTTGTTTTCTTGCCCCCACTAGACTGTCCATTCTTGCCTATATATGTTTATTTAAGTATACCTTTCATCTGGAATGCTTTTCAAGATCGATTACTGAATCAAGACCTCAAATCTTTTTTATATGTGAAAACCATTTTGTTTTTCCTGTCACTTAGCACTTGTCATAGACGGTCTTCTGTGAGTTACCTATATATGCTTCTCCTGAACCAGATTTTGAAATCCTGGAGCAAGAAGCAGTTGTAGCAAGAAGGACTCTTTCTATGGAGTCAGGCATTGTTACAAATAACAGTTCCAGCATTTCTTGACCATATGGTCTTAGCAAGATACAGTGTCTTTAGTCCTTAGTTTATTATTCACCAGAAATGATATTTTCTACCATACATGGTCATGATGGGGATTAAATAATGTATTATATTTGATGTGTCTGGAATAGCATCTTAAATATTACTGGCACAATAAATTCTGAACTATAATCTTCCTGACACTGATTCCTGCCTCTCAACCCAATACCAATCAGCCAAAAAGGACATCACATTTGTAACACATAGTGAAAATGTAGGAAAAGTCAGCTATAGCAGGAGATGTAGAAGCAGCTGCTTGTTGTTGATGTGGTATGAGAAAGAAAACCTATGTCTCAAGACCATTGCGAATGTTAATCCTTAAAGGGATGTGTGTTTAAATCAGCCTCAATAAATTTACACAATACTTCCTAAATTAAAAGAAATAAATATAGAAATGAATGAATAAATAAAGTTTTCACTTCATAAAGTTGAGGAAAATCTCTTCAATTTAGTTATATTTCATTCAGTGTATTTATCTGAGTCAACAAGAGCTAGAGGACATATAATTCAGTTTCATATTCATTCTCTTTTCCAACAAAACAAATATGTGTGTATAAATCCATTATACCAAAATGCCAGTCACATATGTACAGGAAGTTGAAATGTTGCCCCATTACTCAGCATGTGATACCACTTACAAAAGGCAAACCAGTGTCTACCCCCAAAAACTTGAAAATATTTATCAGTAAAGATATATGTACCCTTATGTTCATTGCAGCATTATTCATGGAGGCCAAGATATAGAAACAACCGTAGTGCCCTTTGATAGATGACTGGATAAAGAAAATGTGGAACATATATACCATTTATATATATTATATATATAAATTGTATATACACATAAATGGTATTTATACATATGTGTGTATATATAAATGTATATATACATATATATACACAAACATATTATATATATATCATACATATGTATATGTATATATACATATATAATATATACATACATATATACACAGGGTGCCAAAAAACTGTATACACATTTTAAGAAAGGAAAAAACTGTATTAAAATTGTAATAACATATACCAATAACAAAGATGAACACAAGTCATGTGTATACATTGTTTGGCACCTCTGGTGTGTGTGTGTGTGTGTGTGTGTGTGTGTGTATGTGTATATCTATATATATATATCTATATATCTATATATCTATATATAAATATATATACACATACACACACATATATACAGACATAATAAAAGATGAAATAGTGCTATTTGAGACAACATGGATGGATCTTGGGATTATCATGCTAAGCAAAATAAGTCACATGGAAAAACTTGAGAACCGTATGATTTAACTCATATTCAGGATATAAAAATGAAAGCAACTAACAAACAAGACAAACAAACAAAAACTCATAGACACAAACAACATTTTAGTAGGTGCCAGAGGGAAAGAGGGGAAATAGGGAGGCAGAAAAGAGTAAAAGGGGTCGAATATATGGTGACAGGAGGTTTGACTCTGGGTGGTGAACACACAATGCAATATACAGATGATGTATTATACAATTGTACACTTGAAACCCGTATAACTTTATTAACCAACGACACCCCAATAAACTTAATTAAAAAAGTCAACCCAGGGAATCTCATCATGAGTGTTAATACTGAGTTAATAATTTTTGGCCAAATAACAGAGAATCAACTATTTCCAAATCATAAATTGAACATTTATAAAGGCTTTATTAACCCACTGACAAATTTTATATAACCTGTATTATACATGGATTTTATTTGCCATTATATGAGCTTCATATGTTTACTATATCTGAAATTTTTGAAAACATAATGTCACTTAGTCATTGATTTACACTTGTTTTCCAAGTAAAATAGAGGGAGTTCTTTGTCACGAGTGCACTACCTGAATAACACAGCTATAAGTGAACATGGTTAATTGACCTACCTGGAACTTTTTCTCAGTCAGGCAGCTAACATAAACTGACCTTCCAAAATGAATCTAGTTTCTCAATGCCAGATTCAATTTGTCCAAAAGGTTGCTTTTGTATATAAGGGTTCTGCCCCTCTTCTCTGAACATTTTGTGTCTTCCAAGGCTGTGGCGCTATGCCAGATTATTTTTCTCTTGTTATCATGGACCAAAACCCACTGAAAGCGTGAAGCCAATATAACACATTGTTATATGATTTTTCAGGGGCAGAATGATACTCAGTTCCATTAAGAGACAGCCTTTAGATGTCAAAAAACCAGAGAGTTTGTTAAAATTGGACTTAGCCTTAGTAGTCCAAAGAAAACAATGTTGTCAATAGCCTACCATCATTTGGGAAGAGAGTCTTGCTTTTTGTTGCTGGCATGGTTTATAAGAATGATCTAATTCCAGAGAAGACTATTTGGAACAGCCACAGTTTGCATTCAAAGGCTAGCCCTTAGACCCCTCTATTTTTAAACTTCAGTGATGGGAGCATGTAAGTCATATTTTAAGAGAAGATATTTACATTTTTGGGGCTATATAAATGGTCAAGAACGGATACCCTTACATTCTAAGACTTAGAACACAACTGGTTACACCTGAGGTTATTAGGGTTGTGTTTTTAAATATACAGAAATATGTCTAAAAACAAGATAAATGATGAAGACACTGATACAAAGAAATAGAAACTTTACCCAAATATGTGCCTTAGTTCTGTAAGTTCTTTTTCTTTGATCTGCAGGTCATCTTCTAACCTTTCTATTATAATAACATAAGATTCACTGACCTTCTTCTTCCATTCATCTAAAAAAAAATAGGATTGATTCATAGCTGTGTTTTGCAAAGTATAGACATAGATCACAATACATAATTAAAACTGTTTTTTATTCTGAATTCTACAATAATTTTAATTACTGATTGTGAGTTTAAAATGCAGATGTTTATATTTAAAATGCAATCATACTGAATTGTAATTAAGAACCCATTTGATATATTTACATAGAAGGATATATTTGACTTATTTCATTTGATTTTATTGCATTGGAATTATAGCAATCCCCAGTTGCTTGAAAAGTATTTTTAGGTTCTATATACTAGATACTTAAGATGTAATTCTAACATCTCTATATTCATCAGTATTACAAATTTCTTCTACACCATTATACCTAGAAACTAACATACTTTTGTAAGAAATCTTCAGTTTTCTCTAAAGATCTTTTAGAGAAAAATAATTTGAGTTCAGATAATCTTCACAACAATTTCGTATAACACAGTGATTTATCTTCTGTGTAAAAATTAACAGATATTGCAAGGAAATATTAATTATCTACAACCATTATTAAACCATGTTACATTTAAGGATATAAGATAATTAATTACCAGTGCAAGTTTGGGTTGGTCTAGACTTATAATTTCCCATTTGTTAGAAGTTTCTTCTGTTCTCCAGTGTAGCTCCTCACATTACAAGATTCCAAGTTCAAGTGCAGTGACAGTCCAGTTGAAAAATACTTTGATAGTCTGGCTAAAAATAAGCCTACTGCCAAATGGAATGTCATGCAACAGTGACAAAGAACAAAATAGTGTGTGCTTATAAGGGTAAAATCATAAAGGGAACTGATCAGCCTGTTTAAAAGAGCTGTACTAAAAATAAATGATAAATGTTTCAATTCGGTTATTTGCCTCCATCAATTGATTACCTACCCTTATATACCTTATGGGCCATTTCTTTAGTAGGTATATCTAGAAAGTGGTTCAGTTACATCTGAGACCCACAAAGAGCTATTAAAACTACCTATATCTTCTTTCAGGGTCATTTTCTCCTGAGCCAAACTCATGGCAGTTGGAAAGAGTGACTGTGAGAGAATTTACCTCTCTCTGTAAATAATGGAAACCCATATCCTATAGCATGGGACTGATAGAAATGATTTTAAGTTTTGTCTACATTAGAGCTACAAAATTATATTTGTAAGAAGAAATTTTCAAGATAGACCATGATTTATGTCTACTACTTGTTGATTATGCTGAGTTTAAGAGTCACAGGTGATAATCTAAGACACTTAATTCTACAAATAGCATTTCATAAAATAGTAACGTGAAAAATAAGAAGATTATGAATAATAAGACTGAATGCTTGCTCTATGCCAGACACTCACACAATCTTGCAAGATATATATTATTCCCATATTATGAGTAAGAAAATCCAGATTTGCTAGTAGGTAGTGAAGTCTGGAATCATTTCTGATCTATATGATTCTAAGGTCCAAGCTAGGTGTTATTATTGATAGATCTTCCATAATTCCTCTTTCATTCACTTTCCATGTACTTCATGAGGGCATTTCTCTTTGCGTATTCATAATTCTATTGATATAAATGAACTCAGGCTATCATATAGATAGAATAAATGGAAACTGCAGAAAAAAGTTACCCGATTTTAAACTATATACTTTTTTTATACTGTAATTATTCCTAGAATGTATAAATTTTAATGAAACCAGTATAGATTTCATAGTTATTATAGTTGAATGTTCAAATAACAGTTTCTTCCTGAAGCAAAGGCTTAGACACATTTATGATTCCCCACAACTTTTTCTCAGCAAATGTAATTTAAGGTCCAGAGGGAGGGCTTCCATCCTGATCAGATGTAAATGTAGAAGTAGGTAATCTGACTTTACGGACACCTCTGCCCTCCCCTGTATATAACTCTCCTTATTCTTCCCCAATGGTATATGCTGCCATGCTGTTGGTGTCTGCTATACTTTCAGGGACTCTGTTTACTTGGCCCATGTATTCTATTATGTTTTCTTTGTTTGAAGGCTAGACATCTTCAGTTGCACCAGCTTTCTTTCAGCACTTGTGTGACCTCCATCTCCTCAGGAAAGAAGTCTTTGCTTTCTCCAAGCATGGTCCTGTCAGGACCATGGACTTAAGCACCTGACTTCCTCAACGCTTCCTTGTACTAAAGACCATACTAGATAGTTTTCTTTTAAAGGCTAGCAATCTCCCAAGGCTACAACTTGGAAAGTATTATAATTCACAAGTTCTCTCTTCTCTTCAGTTTCTTTAATACAATCCATGGTTTCAACACCTTGAATCCAGAGGAACAAGGATACGAGGCAGAGCTCTAGGCCTTCTTGAGGACATCTAGATTTATGTATTCTTTCTGATTTCCTTTCTTATTTCTCTCCCCACTATCTCAGATCTTCTACGTGTGTGTGTGTGTGTGTGTGTGTGTGTGTGTGTGATCACCCCTATCAATGAAAGAAAAGCTAGTTCTTATATCATTTTTTATTGTCTTCTCCAATTTCCTCTTTGGGACATGACATAAAATTAATACACTGAGTTTTAGGATTTTTCCTTTCGATTTTCAAAAATCTTTTTACTTTCTCAAAAAGACTAGCACTTACAAATGAAAGTTTTAGTGTTCAAAGCTACTATTTCTGCTATGGGTTTGAAAATCCAGATGCTGATCTCAACTTATTTTTCCCATACCCAGAGGAAACAAAGTTTGCTCAAAAAATGGGAGGATAGTAACATAAAAGCCGCAGAAAATGATCAACTTATTATCTAAAATATTACATATCATTGAACTATAACAATTTCCTAGTTCTAAAGGAACAATATTTATAAAGCCTCTTTTAAGAATGTGAGTCTAGGTCAGGGGTCAGCAAACTTTTGAGATGGAAGAGCCAATCCTGTTCTTCACAACAGTTTAAAAATTATTCGAGAGCAATAGAACAAATGAAATCACCATTATGTGAATAATATCCTTTAAAATTTTTATAAATGGAACTATGATAGTTTTATTTTCATTTTCAATTTTACTTCAGTGCCACATGTAGTACCCAAAGAGCTACATGTGGCTCACGAGCCACAGTTTGCTGACCCCTGATCTAGGTAGTCCATTAATGACAGTGGATTAACCTTCCTTGGTGCCTTTAGGGAGGTGAAACCAAGATGGGAATAAGTAAATGATCCAGGATAAAACTCTTACTTTATCTATAAAGAATGCTGGCAACAAATGAACAACAGAAACAAACAAACAAAAACTCATAGACACAGACAATTGTTCAGTGGTTACCAAAGGGTAATGGGGAGGGGAATGGTAGATGAGGGTAAAGCGGGTCAAATACATAGTGATGGAAGGAGAACTGACTCTGGGTGGTGAATATACAATGCAATATAAATTATGTATTATATAATCATATACTTGAAACCTATATAATTTTACTAACCAATAAATTTAATAAAAAATTTAAAAAGGCTGGAGAGAATCCACATGGAAGCAGGAAATATTTTTCCCAGTAGTCAGTACATTTCTGTAAAAATTGCTTCTTTCTACCTTGGGTTGACCATATGTTCTACACTGAATTCTACTCATCTTAGTTCTGAGACTTCTAGTAGTGTGGAAAATATATTATGTCATATATTATAAAAAACACAACCTAATTACAAAAGTGGTCATCTTCTCGAACTTTAGTAAAAGTAAATGCCACCTGAAGGCACTTTGTAAAAAATTAGTAATCGGGGCTCTAGCCTCAGAAATTCTGATTCAGTAGGTGGGGGTAGGGTCTAGGAATCTGAATTTTGACAGACACACCCTAGTGATTCTAATGTAGATGCTACTTGGGGCATTATTTCCAGGCCATTTAAAGTGAGATGCTTACTTATCTGAAGGTTTTTGAGCTTCCAAATTCCATGTAAGAGAAGAGAAAACTGGAGAAAAAGAAAAAGGTGATTGTCTCAGATTCTCAAAGAGTTCTATCCCATTTTAATCACTGGGGCAGTAGATGATTTGGCTATGCATGTATACTCTCATATTTTAACAGTGATTCACGAAAAGTGAAAGCAGCCAAGATGCCCTTTCATAGAAGAATGCGTAAACAAACAAATTGTAGTATATGCATACAGAAGGATATTATTCAGTGATAAATGAAATGAGCTACCAAACCAAGAAAAGTCATGGAAGAGCCTTAAATAAATGTTGCTAAGTGAAAGAAGCCAGTCAAAGAAGGCTACATATTATATAATTCCAACGATACGACATTTTGGAAATGTCAAAACTATCAGCACAGTAAAAAGATCAGTGGTTGCAAGGAGGAGTAAGGAAAGGGGAAGGATGAATAGGTAGAACACAGGTAAGCTTTAGGGTAGTGAGATTATTCTGTAAGAAATTGTAATGGTGGATACACGATATTATGCATTTGGAATACTTTATAGAACTATAAAACAGTACTGTAAACTGTGGACTTCAACTAATATTAATGTGTCAATGTTGTCTCATCAATGGTAACAAATGTATCCAGACCAATATAAGCTATTAATAATCAGGAAAACTATGGCGGGGTGGAGGAAGGGGAAGGAAGGAGTATACGGGAACTATACACTTTCTGCTCAATTTTTCTGTATCTCTAAAACTGTTTTAGCAAAAAAAGTCTATTGATTGTTTTTTAATTAAGGAAAAATATAAAACAAGAAGTAAATATGACCAAGAATTAGTAATTCTTTACCAAGACCACACAAATAAAATCAGAAATAAAAGAGGAGAAGTTACGATGGATACCACAGAAATACAAAAGATCATACAAGGATATTATGAAGAACTATATGCCACCAAATTCAATAACCTAGAAGAAATGGACAAGTTCTTAGAAATATATAATTCTAAAAAATCTATACAGACCAATAAACAGTAAGGAAAATGAAACAATCAAGGAATACTTATAACTTATAAGGAAAAGTCTTCTCTAAGGAATGTATAATTAACACTAAGCATTTTTTTTCCTTTACATTTACTTACTTTTTTTGGGGGGGGGCTCAGACATCTGTATAGTTTTTAAAGCTTTTCTTTAAAACAATATTTATTTTATTAGTTTCAGATGTACAAAACAACATAATGATTAGACACTTACACCCCTCACAAAGTAATAACCCCATCAAATCTACTACCCCTCTACATCGTACATAGTTATTACAATACCATTGACTATATTCCCTATGCTGAACTTTACATTCCATGAATATATATATATATATATATATATATATGTATAATAGTTGACGTTCAATATTATTTTATATCAGTTTCAGGTGCACAGTACTATGGTTAGGTATTTATATATCTATGAAGTGATCCCCCTTAAGCCTGGTACCCACCTGACACCCTACATAGTATTTACAACATTACTGATTATCTTCCTCATACTGTATTACACTTGCTTGTTTTTTTTTTTATTCAAAATGTCAGGGTAGATTTAGTAAATACCTTATTTCTTCAACTAATTGTTTTTTGACCAAACTTCAAGTTCTATTGAATTGCCTAAATCTAACATTAATGCCTCCATCTTTTCAACAATTTATCTGACCACTTCAGCATGTACATAAACACGTTCCAATACTCCTTCAATAAGCCTAATATATTCTTTCTGAATTCCTTTATTTGGGGCTCATGTGATTTATTTATCCCAATCGACACTTGTGCATCTGCTA